TCCACGCCGTGTGTCGGTCAATGTCACACCACACCCGTTGTAGCGCACCACACACGGGCGGTTGAGTTGATTCTGCCAGAACTGCATCGGGTTGTTGAACCAAGCATGAACTACCTTAGCGTTAGTCACCGAAAATTTATACAGGCTGAACACATCTAAAAGCTGGGCGTTGAAATACATCCCATCAGCAACCGCGATCTTCATGGGTGAGAAATCTATGTCCAGTTTAGGGTAAAACACTCCAGGGGAGTAAGACACTCCTTGCGAGGATACTCCTCCTTGGGAATACATTTTAAAACTATTATATAATGAGCATATATACTCTAACATGTACATAACACTTCCAGGAATAACGAGCGGCGAGGCAGTTCAGCTGACGCACGCGATCGATAATACGTCCTGTCAACTCGAAGTCGCACTCTGCGATATCACCTACCTACCGCAATGGACTAACATCAACGCCAGCAACAATAAGCTGTTCGTTAGTGGAACTCGCAGCCAGATAACTGACGGCTACTACAGCGTGTGCTCGCTAAGCGATGAGGTCTTCAAACCCCTGGGAGCCGAACTCAAGATGAACGACTCAAACGGCACAGTGGTGTTAATCAACAACGGAAGAAACTCCTTGAGGCTCGGCCGTCCATTGGCGAGGACACTCGGTATGTCACCTGACGAGATAAAACCAACAACAACCGTCACAGGCACGAGGTTACCCGACCTAGTACCGTACCGAGAGCTGTACATTCATCTAGGTCAGGTGAGCACAACGTACAACATTCAAGGGGGTCACCCTTCCACTATACTGAGAGCCGTGCCGGTGAAAACGGAGAAATACAACGACGGTAGAACCGAGTCGTTTTCACCGCGGCAGTATAAGAGGTTGACTCAGGGCAACATACCTGAGCTGATAATATCGGTGTTAGATATAAATCATAATCCCGTGAATATAGGATACCTCAGCTTAACGCTTCACATAAAATGACCAGCGCACAAGGGCCCGGGGTGAAAAAATGCGTCAATGTGGGGATCTCCGACCTCGGGGACACACGCGGTTTCGACGCTCCCGGAGTAGATGGTAAATTGTACGCCTTGCAACTGAAAAACAACATTTACAAACGCGTTGAAGTCCCCTCCGGTGGAGCCCTAGGTGATATAGTAGATACCTCAAGAGCGGTAGTCAACACTAAGTACACCCTAGTCACCACCGGTAATGATAATTGGATAATATACCCATCGTTCGGGGGCAAACTGTTCGACTTAGACGATGTTGAGAGCACTACCGTCGCCCGAAACAAGCCATATATGCTCGTCTTCACCGAAGATGACAAGTGGGTGTTGATACCAGATAAAGACGACTGGTTTCTCAATATTAGGCTCGGCTCCCCCTACGTGTTCACGGATAACAAAGACAACCACCTAAACAAAGTCGTTAACAACGGAACCCTGCTCGTGGCTTACGTCCCGACTCAGAGACGTAGCGTAGTCATCAGCCCAGTCGCCAGTATGGCAGCCCACATGCTATCGAGTAAAGCGGGCATGCAAAACGTGACATTGCAGTTGGTGTCTGAATTTGAAGGCGTGGTCAGGATACTAGAGAGTCTACCGGCGAACTCAACACTGATCATCAAAGTCTACCTAGGGAACCATCGGGGAATGATGTCGAGATCGTGAAGGGGATCAAACTTGGGTGGGTGAAACGACACCAGTATCACGTTTGCACAGTTTACGTGCGGGTGGGTGTCGGCTCCAACACCAGTCTGCAGGGTGTCACCGCGTGATCGTGGAAAACACTATATCACTAACCAAGATCTTCCTACCTGACAACATACACTTCATGGGGGTGAAGTTAACCCCTGAACTATTATCAGAAAACCAGTTGGAAATTATCTCGTAATAGTATTATAGCAATGACCAGTCATCACCCCAACACCACGCTTAACGACCTAGGGGACACGGAGGGATTCGATCAGCCTGGTGAGGAAGACACCTCGTACGTCCTACACTTGAAAGACAATGTGTATAGGCGGGCAGCAATAGCCGATCATCTACCCAAACTCACACTCAAGGACCTAGAGGGATTCGATCAGCCTGAGGAAGACACCTTATACATCCTACACTTCAAAGACAAAGTGTATAGGCAGATACCGTTATCAGATTTTAAAGAACCCGAATGGCTAATCAACTTAACCCTCACCTCACCTTATATCACATACAATGAACATAATTATATCTCTGAAGTTAAGAATAGCGGTACCCAGCCCGGGTGTTTCATTCCGGCCCCTAATACAAAGATTTCACTAAGCGTGAACCCCAATAAGTTATATTCATCCCTCGGGGGTGAGTTAAGGTATGACTGCTACGGGTACGCAAGGATTACATCTATAGCACCAGGCTCCACACTCATCATGGACGTCTCAATAGAGAATATTGCTCCTGCAGAACAACAACTTTTACCCGGGGTGACTGTACGCTGGAGTTCCCAGGCCAGGTTGAGACGTTTCCGTATCGTCATACAACCGGACCCCTCAACGGGTCGTGCAATCTCCTTAATAATCCCCTACTATGGGTGGATAATAAGCCGCCACTTTGAGGAGTTTCATGTGAAAACAACGTCACCTATTGCACTCTCACCTATTTTCCTACATGAGTATTTGCGCCTTATAAGTCTCAAGTACGTTAATCGAAGATTAAATGAAACCCAATTAAAATATCTTTTGAAATATATATTATAGGATGGGGCTATACCCAGTCATAGAGGAAGTAGCGAAGACCCTGGAAACCGTAGACGGGTTCCGCTTGAGGCAGTTATGTGATGTAAAACGTCAACTAGAGCAAGACCGCGACACACGTAAAGCACTATGTAAAAAGTACCATAGAGCTTTCAATATCGTGGACGGGGCTGACGCTGCCCTTATGGCAACCAGCATGGGGCTGGGAGCGGCAGGTGTTGGGTTGTTAGCTACCATCGTGGCTGCACCTATAGTACTAGGTATTGAAATAACAGCTGGGGTGGCAGGGGTGTTAGGGTTGGTGCTTAAGTTGGCATCACGTAGACTGCATCGTAAGGCATTGAAACACGACGAGATCAGGGTTCTGGCTGAAGCAAAGCTGAACACAGTAAGTGAGCGTATTTCCACTGCACTCACTGACAGTAAGATCTCAGAGGAGGAATTTCGTTCAATCCTCTCTGAACTCACAAAATATAACGAAATGAAACAAGAGATTCGGTCCAAGTCTCGTAAGTCTGCTATCAGCGAGGATGATAAAAAAAGTACATAGAACAAGGTGTGAAAAAAGCCCGGCAAGCCTTTATTACAAACACCAAAGAGATCATAGGCGATTCACATTAAACTGTTTCATCGAGGTAAACATGACATAGTATTGGATGATACAATCCCAGGATAGACCCGTTAAACCAACATACTTCAGCCAAGTCCCCGGTAGCTCAGTCGGTTAAGAGGTATAACATTGGGCGTTCGTACCCCGCTAGCGTCTCAAACTTTTTCATAGTAGGGGAAATGGTAGCAAGAGCTAAGGGTCCGACAAAAACCTTATTTGGTAAATAAGGCTTTGCAGAGGCTTTTGTTGGAACTGGTCCCGGACTGTCTTTCTCTCTACTACTATTCAGAACGTTTTCAAATATGTACATATCTATATCTCTCCAACAAAACGTTTTTCAGTTAACTTCTGTTGTACATATGCTATTATTGGGAGGGGTCTTTTCTATCAATAAACACAATCAAACTTCTCAGTGACAAACCTGTTTTTATATTCGATAGTAATTGATAGTAAAATCAACTTTGAGAAGAGAAATCATTTATCCTTTAATCACAACAAAGCTCTATTTACCCGCAATCAAACTTTTAAGTAACGAACCTGCTTCAGGCTCAACCTGCTCTACTCAGTAGGCAGTGGACTGTTCCATTATACCCGTAGGTGTAACCCTAATTAACCTTCTAGTTCAGTGTTTGTCAATTGGGTGTCTGTCAAATGACAGTTTGTCACTGAGAGGTTTGATTATGCACTGAATGTATAAAGAAAACAACATTATTAACATAACTCGCTAGGCAGTCGGCCTCCTCCCACTTTCACAGTTTCATTGTCTAGCAATTAATTAAAGTTAATGGTGCAACAAAAGGCATTAGTAGGGGATTACAACTCACGTCAGTTCAACACATTGCCAATTTATTTCATTTTACACAATTTACAAAAATATATGATTCATGTAAAACGTAAAAAGTTACAGATATACATATATAATTTATAGTCACGTAATGTTTCTTTAACATTTTTATCATTTAAGCAGATGATTAGTGTTACAAGTTAAATTACAGATAAATAAATGATACATATATGACATAATCATGCAATATCATTTTAATCAACACAAATATTTACAATCCCACTAAGTCGGAGAGAGCATAAGAAATTGATAATTGATGCTGCAAATTGTGAACACTTGACTAAAATTGTTTTGCATGTGGTGAACACTGTTTATGGTTCACCATGCTCAGAAACTGGCAATAACCAGCCAGGCATGACCTTGCTAATAGGGTGTTATTAATAATGCGATATTCGTAAAGTGTGGTCGGAATAACTACTGGCAAATTGGGAGTAAATCAAGCAGTTAGCTGATAAGTGAGTTGACAAAAGGAGGAGATGGGTAGCTGAAAAAGGGGAGATGTTTATACAGTTGATTGGGTCTGTTAGAGGAATGCATCATAAGCGGATGGAAGATGTTTGCCATAAAGTCTGTCTTTATGATATTCAGAAATGTCACGACTAAGGAAACCATATTTGGTGTTGAGCGCGTGCGGGAAATCGAATAATAATAGCTGTATTGCACAGCGGTAAGAACGATAATGATATATATATTTACCGATATGTACAGCTAAACCATTTCGTGCGAAGGTTAATGTCTCTGTGGTCACATTTCGTACGGTATCGCTCAAACGCAACAACCTGAAGAAACTAGGTTTTCCCCAGGATTAAAAATACAGTATGGTTCGAAGTCACCGGAGCGATATTTCGTGTGTATGTGAAGCATTTTTTCCTTAGTCCAAATGGGTCATTACCACGGCAGCCACCCTTGACTACGACAGAACTGGTGTGTTATTCTCGAAATCTAAAATCAAAGGTATTTTGAGATTATGATCATGTTGGTCAATATTTGAAATAAATTTTGCGTATGTGTAAGCGACTATATGCACATTGCCATTTTATCATATGTCATGTCAAAAAGTCTGAACAATAATTGAGTACTTATGCTTCGGTAAATGGTATACTTAACGATACAAGCAATATAAATGTACAATATATTGATTTCAGGTCTTGTTGGGGACCTCTGCAGAAAACATGGCGACGGCCAGTAGAGGATATTGCGATGTCAGTTCTAAATCTATCCAGGACCGAGTAGAACATGACTACAGAAGCCTGATTATAAAACACGTTCGCTGTGGCTCTATCATTGGACGAATGGGCGTCCCTGACGGTAGGTGGGATGTGTAGTTAATACCCATGGCTGTTGTGATCAGGGGAGTTAACTCTGTTTACCTTATGTGTCGTATCGCCCGCTCGCGCTCAGCCGCATCCAATGTTACGTTTTTGTCTCCTTTCCAAAATATATCTTAATGAACCCGCTATACGACTTGTTTTGTACAGCATCACGTGTGCTGTTTTAGTACGCATGTTAACTGACCGTTTACAAATCATGTCATAATAGTGATGTCTTCCTGTGGAGGAATTTGTCTGAAAGTTCATCTCGACAATGGACCGTGCGTATTACAAGCCGTTTTAACATTCATTAAGAAATACTCAAATCCTTCTATGATTCTATAACCGAATTAATGATATCTGTAACTGAATTGAAGATATCTCTAACTGAATTGAAGATATCCGTAATGCATTTGCGGATATATGTGTAAATAATGATTATTTCAAGATATCTTGTACTGAATTTAAAGATATCTTGAGTTAATTTCTAATACAATTATGTACACTATGATCCTAACTGTTTTATTGATATCTTAAACACACTTAGATATATATCACGAAACATGTTCTTGATATCTCTATAACATTTTGAGATATCGGTTATTCTATTTGGATATCAGAAATTTATTAAAGATATCTTCATTTTTTTACCGTTATCTTAAAAGAATTATCAATATCTTTCAATACAATGCAGATATCTTTAAAACAATAGAAGATATCATTACTTTGTTTATAGATGTGAAATGGCTTGCCATACGCGCGTACACGAATTATGCTCACCTCTTTGTCAGTTGAAAACCGTCTCCAGCAAAACACAACATTTTCTACAACGGACACTGAATTTGGTTGTGTTCATCACTCCCGAGTCTGGCTGCAATGTAACTGCCTCGCCTCCACTGATCTTCCAAGTGAATCCTGTCCAATTTTGAATCAAGGTTTATCATTGTAAAATGAACGTATGCACTTTTATGCCGCTTCCTTTTCACCTGAGACAGCTGCTGCTGTTTTGGTTAAATACAATTTGCAAGATTTGGGCCTTATCTGTTTTGTGTTTATAAAAGAAGGTATTTAATTTGAAGAATATTTCCCCTTTCCCTCATCATTAGTGATTCAATGTGACAAATACACGTGAGGGCAATTGGTAATCTGCACGTGTTACATGCTAGTACACATGTGAAGATCCGAAGTATGTAGTGGTTTATATGTTCGTCAGCAGCATACCCCAACTCATGATTCACCAAAGTGGTAAAAGTCTTAAGACCTTCATCACGTCGGGTTTGCCTGCAACATCAAGCACACAGGTGTGCCTTGACGTAACTGCTGTGCTTTCCAAACTTGGATAAACTCGTCGACAGACCACTGTATACACTGTGATGTTGGCTGCTTGGCTGGTTGGTTGGGTATTTTTAACGCCGCACTCAACAATATTCCAGCTATGTGGCGGCGGTGTGTAAGTAATCGAGTCTAGACCAGAAAATCCAGTGATCAACAGCATGAGTATCGATCTACACAATTGGGATACAATGACATGTGTGAAGCCTGAACACCCCATCCTGTTATTCGCCTCTTACGACAAGCATGTGTTGCTGAATACCAATTCTAACCCGGATCTTCACGGGTTGCAGTTTGAAGTTATTGAAGAGGTAAAATATCTTTTTTAAAATACGTTTTATCAGCAACTGAAAGGTTGGTATTAATTCATTGCGATGGTTAAGCTGACACTTCTATTCACCCTTGTTATGGGAAAGTTGGGACAAATAGAATATCCACAGGATGAGGGATTCCAGTTTTTATAGACAACAAAACAGGATTAACAAAAATACTAGTATGGAGTCATGGAATACATATGTTTCCGGAGCATAACTCAAAAACCGTTCAATAGTTTTCAGCAAAACATGGTAGATATATCAAACGTAAGCTAAAGTGGTGCCTTTTGCTATTTACATATTTTTGGCATTATTATTTTTCTTGGTTTCCATGGAAATGATTTGGACTTAGTCTCAAAAAGGAGGCATTGGTTTGGTTTCCGGAGCACAACTCAAAAACAGTTCAATATTTTTCAACAAAACGTGGAAGATATATCAAACAGAATCTAAAGTGGTGCCTTTTGCTGTTTGCAGATTTTTGTCATTTTTATTTTCCATGGAAACGAGTTAAACTTAATCTCAAAAGGGAAGGGTGGACTTCGTTTTCGGAGCACAACTCGAAAACTGTTAAATATCTTTCAGCAAAACTTGGCAGATATGTAAGCAGATCTTGATGTGGTGTCTTTTGCTATTTGCAGATTTTTGGCATCTATATTTTTCTCGGTTTCCATGGAAACGATTCAGACTTAGTCTCAAAAGGGAGGGATGGGCTTCGTTTCCGGAGCACAACTCAAAAACCGTTCAATATCTTTCAACAGAACTTGGCAGATATATGTGACAGATCTTGATGTGGTGCCTTTTGCTATCTGCAGATTTTTGTCATTTATATTTTTCTTGGTTTCCATGGAAACGAGTTGAACTTAATCTCAAAAGGGAGGAGTGACCTTCGTATCCGAAGCACAACTCGAAAACCGATCATTATCTTTCTTCAAGACTTGGTAGATGTTTCAGACATAAGCTAAAGTGGTGCCTTTTACTATTTATAGAATTTTGGCATTTTTATGTTTCTTGGCTTCCATGGAAACGATTCAGACTTAGTCTTAGTGCTTCCGGACATAGTCATAAAAAAGAGAGGGGTGACCTTCGTTTCCGGAGCACAACTCGGAAACCGTTCAATATCTTTCTACAAGACTTGACAGATATGTCAAACAGATCTTAAAGTATTGCCTTTTGCTATTTGCAGAGTTTTGGCATTTTTATATTTCCTGATTTCCATGGAAACAATTTGGACCTTGTCCAAACAAAATCAAGTTGGACTTTAAGTAATTGTCAGTTGATTTGTTCTTTTTTTTTAGAGGGGTCGGGGTGATTTGTCATCTCCTGATGACTCGTGTTTTAATAGCAAAAGGATTATAATTGTTTAATGTTGCAATGATTGGATATGTATCTCTGTATATTCTTCCTGTTCTGGCGTCTAGCTTGCACCACCTAAGTGGAAATTTCAATCGCAGAATGGTTCCCTCTTACTAAATGATAATAGAATTAGACTACTGAAATGGTTATCGGGGGATCACAATGGGCGACCTGCTAATTAGGTCACCCGCTGGTTTTGCCTGTTTTGTCTCGTCTTCATGGTTTACACAAGCAGGAATTTTGCTGACTGTGTCTAAATCCACTCACTCATTATATGCCTTCAGAGCACCAGGAAACCGTCAATAACATCATGGCACTGGAAAACCTTCACCAACAGTCCAAGGCAACAAAGGCATTCCTTGACTATATGAAAGCAAACGGGGAAGCCAGAGACTATTATCTGTTTGGTCAGATACTGGAGATCGATGGTATGTTCTTTCAGGAGTGATGTCTGTTACCATTGAGCTTCTGGTTCGTCTTTTGGTTCTGTCAATTGTGTTTTTTAGTCTCGATGGAAAGGCTGATTAAAACTGATTACCTTTTAAATAGCAGAATCGGAGTCGCATTTGTTGATGACATTTCACTTGAAATTTAACTGATTCCAGCAAATATAGCATGGCTGGAGATAGTGGGAATTACACGTCTCACAAAATATCCTATACCAGATGTATGATTTTGAATGACTTGAAAAGGTATGCTGATTAGGTATATGTTAAGTGAGTGAGAAAAATGGAGTTAGCACCATGTATAACAAAGCACCACCTAATGGCGGTAAAACACGAATGTGTTCTGTTGAAGAGAGGTGAGGCTCTAGGACACTTTTAAATTCGATATCACGACACAATTGATTCCAAATGAGCCCAAAGACTGCACTACATGTTTGATATACCTTTATGTAAATCCATCTGCACAGTAACGAATAGTCCATCATACGACATGTTTAACTGTATATACAAAATATATAGCTTAGCCCGAGTCTCCATTTTCCGTAAGCAATGGCCAAAACGTCCGTCGTCAAGGTTGCAGTTATAAGTTTATAATGTATCTTGTTTTCATATAAAGACAATACATATATTACCTTATGAATACCACTTTCTCTCTAGGTTACGTCTATGTGTCTGAACTACTGCGGGGCGACGACACCCTGGACCCCGACCAACACAAGGAACACTGCAGGCTAATCCAGTTCTTCTGTAAAGACATCAGTGAGACGATTGACTTCAGAGCCCTGTATCCCAGGCTTGTCCAGGACAACTGGATGGGTGGGTATTGTGATATCTTATTAATAGATAGAGTAGAGTTCAGTGAAATATATATTTTACAGCTGCCATCATGGGACCCATCCATGGAGCCTCGATACATAATGCGAAGTAGCATTCCTTTAGCGTCTAACGATTGTTCACGTAGGTTTAAATATTAAACGATCAGTGACAAGTGAAAGCTATACCAATGCGTTTGGGGTTCAGCTTAATGGTAACACGCACCAAGATCACTCGCATTCAATTGCGATATTTCGTTGTGGTGTGTAAAGCCCCACTCTGCAGGTTTCCAGCTCTATAACAGCGGTCTGTAAAAATACACGAGTATAGAACACATAATCCTGTGATAGACACTCTGAGCATCGAGTAACTGGGACAAGATGACATGTGTTAACTAAATCAGCAAGTCTGACCAATTCAAACCAGCGTTCCAAATTAACGTAGGTCCTTAGGCCCCAAGCCGACTGAAAACAACTCGGACCACTGTCCTCCCATTACACAGACAGGCAGTTAGCAGACGCCTTAAAACAACAACATTTACGGTTCCATGAACAGATTAGCTACTACCAGTAACCTACTCATTATAATGGAATAGTCCAAATAAAAACGAAAGATAAAACTAAAGTTATATTATTCACTTTGAAAGATGGCCGAAAAGACATTAATTTGAATTTTGAATGCTGCAAAAAAAGTTGATTTTCAGAAACATTTGGGTTTAGATATTATTCATATGGAATAAGGAAGATAAATGTTTTGCACAGAAGATTAAGATACACTTAATTATGATTTATTAGAATAAATATAAACAATGATGCATCATGTCAATGTGGCCATGGCTGTGAGAATGTTTTTAATTACTGCCTTGAATGTCCATTGTATACGAATCAAAGTAAACTGTAAACTGAAATTAGAATATTGACTGGTATTAATCGTATCTAACATGGGAATGCAGGTTTCTTATTAATCTATGATTACACAATGCCATTTGTTTATATCTCTCAAACAAAACGTTTTCTTAGTTAACTTCTGTTGTACATATCCTATTATTGGGAGAGGACTTTTCTGAGTTGGTAAGTTGTGTCCAATCCTTCTTTGAATGCATGAAATGTTTAAATCAATAAACACAATCAAACCTCTCAGTGACAAAACTGTTTTTATATTCGATAATAATTGATAGCAAAAATAATTTTGAGAAGAGAAGATAGATTATCAGTTAATCACAACAAAGTCCTATTTACACACAATCAAACTTCTCAGTAACGAACCTGTTTCAGGCTCACCCTACTCTACTCACTAGACAGTGGAGGGGCGGTGGGGTAGTCTAGTAGTTAAAGCGTCCGCTCGTCACGCCGAAGACCCGGCTTCGAAACCCCACATGGGTACAATGTGTGAAACCCATTTCTGGTGTCCCCCGCCGTGATATTGCTGGAATATTGCTAAAAGCGGCGTAAAACCATACTTACACACACACACACTAGACAGTGGACTGTTTATACCTGTAGGTGTTACCCTAACTAACCTTATAGTTCAGTGTCTGTCAATTGGGTGTCTGTCAGTTGGGTGTCTGTCAATTGACTGTCTGTCAAATGACTGTCTGTCAATTGGGAGATAACCGACCAGACTCGTATCAGTGTCCAGTGTAGTCATCGGACTACTGTATGGTTATGATATCCGTAACGGTAAATGGTTCAGGCGGGCCTCTTGTGTATTTGTCAAAGGTGTAGCAGTCTGGGATTAGTTGTCTTAGAAATTGTCACATTATTGAATCTGACCAAACACTGATGTACATCTCAAAGCTGTATGACATGAATACATACTACCAATCCAAAGTTTAGACTCACTAGTGTAAATGTAGCCACTTACTTCAGTCAACTATTCTAAGCTAGATTTTGCAAAATATTCGATACTGTTTAAAGGTTCTGTTTACACATGAACTGATTTATTGTGTAAGAAATTCATAACTTTGAAACGATTATTGTCATGAGTTTAATAAATGGTGAAACTCAGTGAAAATTGGAGAATTCTTAACAAAACTTAACACCAAAACGCAGCTGTTCACATGCACGATATTTGCACATGTTTTTCAACGAGTTGATGCATGATCCTCGTGCAATTCGTCTGCACACGGTTTGCAGTTGGTTCCCCGAAGTTAGTGGAGAAAATTATCTTCGATGTAACCACATATGTATACATAACATGTAGTGAGTGCTTTAAGTGTGTCAAATATTTTGATGGGTAGTATATATATGTTATTGATGTGACTGGTATTGTGCATTTCATCGTCTCGTTGGTCATTTCTCATACCCTATGTTCAATGTCATGGTAACCGGGATCACAGTGTTGACGTCTGTGACAGCACCGTATCCTTATAAGGACGGTTCGAGTGAGTTTAATTTTACGTCACTTTTAACAATATTCCAGCAACATCACGGACTGACTGACTGACTGAGTTTGGTTTTACGCCGCTTTTAGCAATATTCCAGCAGCATCACGGCGGGGGACACAAGAAATGGGCTTTACACATTGTACCCATGTGGGGATTCGAACCCGGGTCTTCGACGTGACGAGCCAACGCTTTAACCACTAGGCTACCCCACCGCCCCAGCAACATCACGGAGATGGACACCAGAAATGTACATGGGTACAATGTGTGAAGCCCATTTCTGGTGTCCCCCGCCGTGATATTGCTTGAATATTGCTAAAAGTGGCGTAAAACTAAACTCACTCACTCATTCACTATTGCTTCAGAACTGACAACTGCTTTTTGCTGCACTAAAACGTGACAATATTTCTTTACTTTTGTTCAAGACGACGAAGACGGACAACTGCTTTGCAGACTAGCTGACAACAATGGCCGAATATCCGCTGCAAAATGGCTGATATCAGTTGTACTGCCCCGAAGGAAGGAGAATTGGTTCAAACAGTTTCTTCAGCTTTTATGGGATTGCGGCTACAACGGTCTGGTTGAACTGATTGATGAAGATTTCCATATCCACTGATAGCTTATGCAAGACACTAAACTCTCTACTAGCATACCGATGGGAACAGTTCATTGCAGCTGGTTGCGATGTTTCATAAGGACCATGTCTCACGCCTAGCCACTCCTCCTATATTTAGCTGCCTTGGCGTTACAGAACTGAAATACTATCCAAAGATTTGTTAAACTCAACTCACTCATATCTTAGAACACAAAACAGCTTTAAAATAACCCTTACGCCTTATATGTTTTATCAAAAAACCTGCAAAACATCATCATGATCAATTATTACCTGTTCACTGTCAGCTCACAGCACAACAACAACTGCCACAGCAATGTAACATATGTCATGTTTGGGATTACACTTTCTTATAAAAGTACAAATTCTAGTACTTTTGGGGGTTTAGTCCCATCCGGGATTCGAACCCACACCCTCAGAGTCAGGCACCTAATCGCCAGCACACAAAGTCAGCCGCCTAACCTGCTCAGCCACCGCGACTTCCACACAAATGGAAGTCGGACAACTGTAGTCCAGACTGCGGACTTTGTGTACCCCTCTGAGAAGTGTGTAATCATAACTACCACAGTAGCAGCAGCACCATCAACAGGAACCCCTCACTCATCCCAGTATCATATTCCTTTACATCATATTGGTTGCAACCCAAGTGTCTTTCTGTCTATTCCCACAGCTATGCATATATCTCCTGTTTGTGTTTGTATTTAACTCGCCTGCTTGATGGAGTTGATCGAGTCTACCAGTACGTTGCATAGGAATGTAACTAGATGTTGGTTTGTTTGTTTTATGATTACCGCAGTTCTCATGCTCAGTCAAAGAATTAATGAGCATGCTTAGTTTCAGCAACGATGTGATAAATGTGCATCTTAGCACATCCTTGCGCACTCGAAGCTCTCCGAGCAATGACACTTTAAACAAACTGAATGATAAATTTATTTAAATACTACTAGGATGATGTGAAATTGACAAGGCCTGATCTCCTGTCGCCTAATAGTATGTTTACAATTGGAAACTATCAAAGAAGAAAGTGTCATATCAATCCTGCGATATCACCTTGGATGGTGAGGTTCGTGCCAGATACCGTTCCTGCTGATTCTGCTTACACTGCCCTTTGCAGGAAGCACTGTAGGTGAGTGAGTGAGGTTAGTTTTACGCCGCTTTTAGCAATATTCCAGCAATATCACGACAAGGGACACCAGAAATGGACTTCACACATGTACCCATGTGGGGAATCGAACCCGGGGTCTTCGGCGTGACGGGCGGACGCTTTGTCCACTAGACAACCCCCACCGCCCAAGTATTTTAGGGCCACAAGTCACGCCTTATATACGGGGCATCATAAAATTGCAACGTGACAATGTTAAAGGTCACATAAACCCTAGGGGATAAAAATACATAAATCACTAACTGGCATCGTTATAAATGAAACCCCGTCATTAAAACTACTCATTTCTACCTTTAATTGACTTAAATCGACCTTTTTGACAATAGTGCACAATTCTCACTCGCGAACGAAATTTCAACCAATCAGAGCGGCGCGACTCTGTGACGTCATATGAGGAATAGCTTTGAGGGCCGATGCAGAATTCATCTACATTTTAGGGGGTAAAGTATCTTGTTTACAGGCTTGTATAAACCTGAAATCGTGACAATTGTTGTGGAAAATGAAAGCTATATGTTCTCACAATCTACTGGCATTTAATTTTGTCTCCTGCTTTGCCTAGTTTCCGAGTTACAACTTGTTTTCATAGACGCTTCTGTCACAATTGATTGGTGTCGTTAGGCCCTATTTGTATAATGACTGATCCAAATTGATCCCATTTCTGTGTTTTTTACCTCGATATTTAAACATGTCATGCCAAAAATCTGTTTGTATTCTCAAAACAGTGTCGGCCCATAAGTTTTCACATACAATACAGCAATTAATACTCCCTTGTTGTAACCCGTGTTAGGTGGTATAAACCTACACATGTTATTTGTCATCATTCACTTGATGGTGAGTTAATGAATTTATAACAGGTATAATTGAGTGGTAACACACTTAGATTACCCGACAAAGGTTCCCATTTGGCATTTCTTGTGTCTGGAGTAAATATTCAACATTATAAACATCGATCAAAGGATTAACCGATAACATGCTGATTGATTAATTACTTTTATCTTACACAGCGGATTTGTCAAAGGTAGTGTTTATGTATGTAGATTTACTAATCTATACTGAATACACTCTGCCGTGTCGGTGTCTGCGTAAAACAACGTCCTTCTTTCAAAGGATTAACCGGCAATACATTGATTGATTGCCCATTATTGAAAACTAACTAAATTACTGTTTTTAATGAAAGGCGGACATTATGCAATTAGTTGCCAGGTGTGCTATCTTGGGTGACCAATGAGACTATACACCAATACCTGAAAAGATTTATCACTTTTTCGTATATTAAACTGTTAAAAGACACATCATTTGGAACAGTTTTGTGGATATTGATGGATACATTCCTCAAACAAGGTAATGGCCTGATTATTGTTCCTATAACTTTAATCTGTTTTAATTTTAATATTTGCATATTGTTTTTTATTCATTTGTCGTCGGGAACATCCGCCAGTCTGTGGATAAGTGCTTTTTAGGTTTGTTTTCACCGAGTTACAAAATCAAAACTACTTTCTACTGGTAGTAAAATATGTATTTTATTGATGGCCAATAGGATTTTGCATGACATAGCGTATAACATAACAATTTCTCTCCTGGCAGCGAGGTGGGTGTCAATATAATACTACTTACAATATTATTGTTACTTCGACCACAACCTCACTTCCAAGGAAGAAATCGTTATGTTACAAGTTGTGTTATGGAAAATCTTTATGGTCATCAATCATATACATATTTTACTATAACTAGTAAGTAGTTTTGATTCTTTAACTTCCGTGAAGCGATCTGAACACAAGTAAGATATCGTTTCAGGCTTCCACAACGCTCTCTTCGCACTCACAAACATAACCCATTAAGCACGAACTGCGGGGTCCTGTGGAAATCTGTGCATGGTGACACCATCACCCGACCCCTAGGAGCAATTGACGACAAAGCAACGATTCGGCATGTCGTCGTTCATGTCGAGAAATCATCAAAATGATGAGCGTGCTACACACTTTCTATACAACTAACTGAAAATCGTTCCTCATATGACGTCACTGCAGTGCTCTGGCGACAGAGTTACGTAACCTGTCTGTGGTTTCGTTGGCGGGCGAGAGGGAAGCAGGCGACTTTTAATCGCCACTTTTAATCGAATCGGTATTAATTAACCACAAGTTTTAAAGAATAAATTTGGTGTTCCGCATAAGACTAACCACAAATCTTTCATATGTAATGGTTAAAGAGTAACAAAAACAAAGTTTAGTGGTTCTTTAAATTTACAATGATAACAGACTGCTATAAAGGAATCACAATATCAATACAAATTAATCTGCAGTACAGGTTGCCCGCTGTTGCAGTAAGGTGGTCTTTACCACCTCTGTCTGTAAAGCCATCATCACTGCTTTTGTATCATACTGCCTTTAAATTCGCGCGTCAACGCTAGCTTGTACTGCTATAGTAATACCTTTGTAGGTATTTGTATAAATGTGCCAGGTTATTTTAGAATACAATTTCCAATGATATCTCATTGTTTTTTTGTTTGTAGTAACTCTGGTCATAATGTAGAGACTGCTAGTGCGTCAAGGCATTCTAGTTTAATATACATATTGTATTTTCATGAAGGTATTTGGCAAATTTCAGCTTCGAACGACTTCTGCCACAGGTTTACATGTACGGTTATTAAATGGCAAAAGGGAAACAATGAAAATTGTGAAACGTATGCATTGCATTAAAATTTTGTGCTCCAACCTCTTTGTTGTTTTTACGTATGTCTGTACACTGACTTGTATCGTTCATGATACACAGTAATGAGCGCAATTCGTTTATAGCCAACTTACAAAACGGGCAGTGAATGAGCGGGTCACATGAACTCTCACACCGGTATTTTGGATCCTCGGTTGAACCGTTTCCAAAAATATCACTTGTATTTCACTATAGCCTATATCACTGTATGTAATAGATCTGTTTATTCTGAGACCTTATGAGACATATTCATTGTAGATTTATTTCTTCCTAAGATGGCCTCTTCAAATCTGAAGACATCCAAAATATGTGTAACCAATAGTTCGCTTTATTTCATTATAATTTATTTATACCTGCTTGATTGTCACACTTCTTTTGCATTAAGCCCCTGATGTAACTTCTTATAACAGGGTTATAATCACTCTAAGGCATCAGAAATGGTGCCACAGATTTGCTGAGTGCTGCTTTAGCTGCAGCATCAGCCATTGAGTTACGAGTGATTCCAATATAGCTGGGTAACCAACAGTAAGTCAGGTTAAGATATATTGATACAAATGTGTCATATATATGGAACAGTGAATACAGCCCAGCGCGGACGTTTACAATAACATCTGTATTCACTTGCTTGATAACGGAGTTAGAACCTACACCGAAACGTCGCTCTCACAGCAATAAAGAAGTTGTTCATCCATATATTGTTATCCTTCCTTACTGCTCCAACTTCTAAATGCCTCTCAAAGAAGTGTATTTGAGTGTCCCAAAAGACTTAATGTTGTTGCATGGACACTTTGATCAGTCTCCCATCATAATGTAAATTCATTTTAATTTGGAACACATCTTCAACTGCAGACTTTGAATACTGGTCACATTTTTTCTTTCTTTCTTTTGTGATTGTGTTGTTGAAACTTTTGAATCCCTCTACATTACAATTTTAGAAATGATGGTTAACGTGCCCCAAGGTATACAAGAAACGAATGCACGGTGGGAAAGGTATTACGGTATTGTTAAGCTTAATATTCCTACTATTAATTATCGTTTGTAACTGTCATTAAATAGGTGGAACACTTTTTATGGATAGATAACTTCTTTGTTGCAGTAGTAGTTGCGACGTTTCGGTGTAGATCCTGACACCGTTATCAAGCAACTTATACACAACATTTGCACAAGGAGAAATATATACATGGCGGGTCTTGGTTTATACAATAGAAGAGGTTGATGTACGGTGTGTTGACATGAGACTTGTTGTGATAGGAATGATTAAAGCCAGTAGACAAAGGGTGGGTTATTCTTGACTAGGCTTGATTAGTTGATTGTAAGCCGTCGGAATGTAATAACCTTGATCTTTGTTGATTGCCGGGTGGAGTCGTTTGATGTTGATTGCATCTAAGAGTTTTCTTATAATGTAATCTGACCGGTTGGCTTCTGGGATGCTGATGTTGTTCGAAAGTATGGTATGGTTCGGGTGGGCTTGGGTGTGGTCGGAAATGGCTGATTTGGAGTCTTTTTTCTTTACAGATGTCTGATGTTCCTTGATTCGTAGGTTTAGGGGGCGGCACGTGCCCCTATATTTGAGTCGCCACAGTATCATAATTTGCTTGATAACGGTGTTAGGATCTACACCGAAACGTCGCAACTACTACTGCAACAAAGAAGTTGTCTATCCATCAAAAGTGTTCCACTTCATCATACCAGCTTCTAAATGTCGCTTAAGGAAGTGTTATTAAATAGCTACAAATTCAGTTTCACTTTCAAAATTATAGCTACTCAACTGATTGTATAACGGGTCCATTATAACTGGTGAGAAATAAACAATATTAAGTCATCGTAAGATGCGGAATATTTATTTTCATGTCACTGACATTATCTGATTACAGCCATCAACGTCTCACACAACTATGGCGCTCAAGGTGCCTTACAAGCAATGACGCTTTTCGTGATTGCATCGACAGAATCAGGATGATCCACGTGGAATGCATGTTTATTATCGGGATCAGAGGCAAGTGCACTGATAGTGATATTTCTGCCAGGGCTCTCGATGTGTTCCTTCGTAAAGACGACGAAGATTTCAGATTTTGCCTGAAGGTAACCGATATTGGCAGCCACAACTAATTTGTCATCGCATGTACCTTCGGCGTCGGTAAAGAAAATGATCATATTGTCAGCGTCAGGACGGTCACCATTTCTTCTTGTAAACACGTCGGTGTTAGCCAATTTGACGGCTTCGCCAATATGTGTACTTGCACCACCTTCATTACGTTGCGAATCCACGGCTGCAAGAACACCTCTTTTGTTATTAGAGTAGGCATTTAGTGGGAATACCACTCTTGCATTTACGGAAAATACCAAGAAAGCAACATTAATGGTTTGAGAGCTTATGTCAAATGTTTTGAGCATTTGCTGCTCGAATCGTTTTACACTGCTGTACTGAAATGTCCCGATAGAGTTAGAAACATCTTCAACAATCAGGATATCCAGTTTCCTTTGGCGGCACCCTGGAAGATCAAGCGAATATATTTTTGTGTGCGATTGAGCTGCATTTCAATAGTTTCACATCGTATTAGCATGATGATCATAAGAAATTGATTCTTAGAACACTGGCAAAACCAGAGATAAAATGAAAGTGATGATTGGGCTTTCAAATTCATATTTTTCATATGTGTAAATCGCTCACAAGAAAACAAAGTACCCACAACATATATACACACATTATTAGGTGATAGACTTTGTTGGAAGACTTTCGATTTCATCTGGTCCTGAACGGAAACTTATTCCACTATATTTAAAATGAAGGAGAGTAAATGATTCTTAGTTCTCTTAAATAGATATTCATAGATGGTATATTCAGCGACATCTTGTCTGCTCTAATGATTGACTAGAGGTCATAAAAATACAAATAAAACACTGTATGCGGTATGATATAATCTCCTAATGCACATGTCATTTGAAAACTAGTTTCTTCATCACTACTGGAACTATCTGTATTTAATTTGTCACTTTCCAGATGTACAGTACATATTATTCAAAGAAAGAGCTTAACTAACACAATCGAACTTTGAATTAATTCTAAATGAAAATTATACTGCAAGTATCACCTACTCCACACAATATAGAGAAGGACACTCACCAACTCTCCTTTCACATCTCATGCCACTGAATCCACGTCGACATAGACATACCCATCTTAAGCTTTTACCAATCTGCTTGCATGTACCACCATTGCGGCACAATCGTCTATTGCACAGACCAAAGCCACCTTGGACAAAAAAAGGAAGATCAAATATACATGCGTTGTGGATTTATCCTCCTTCATTGAAAATATACTGCCTCCGAGTCAACTGATCTATGATTGAATATAATTTCCTGCATTTCCATTTTTTTCGACTTTTAAAACCCTTTTGCATGACAAGATTCATTTCAGTTACAAAAAGAAAAAGTGCTCATCCTTTAAGAAAGTAAAAGAAACTTACATTACTAAAACTGCAAGGAATCGTTCAATACGTGTAATAGGTATCTTAAATAGTTGACACAAAGTAAGGTACAATTTTAGCATTTCCATCAATCATAATAATAGCTTTATTTGGATTTACCGCACGTTATAAATGTACATCCAGAATAATGGCATCTGTACTTACCTACTGGTTTTCGACATTTGCTGCCTCTGAATCCACGTTTACAGAAACATTTCCATCTTTTACCGCTGTATCTGCATGTACCTCCATTGCGACAACGTACTCTCCTACATGGATTCCTGCCTCCTTCAGTCAAAGAGAAGAAACGATGTGCAAATTGCAATTGTCGTCTGTTCAACTAATATACAATTGTATATCATATGCATATATACAGTCCCAGTCATGTTCATTTTATAGCAGTTCCTCTGCTGGAAAGTATTTTGCTGTGAATACCTATCTCTGTGTGTGTGTGTGTGTGTGTGTGTGTTTGTTTGTCTTTGTGTAGCCATTAAGGAGCACCTAAATGCAATAAGTCTGATTTCCTCTTGCTACTTATCAGTACTTATATTCAAACCAATATTGATGTCCATGGCGATTAGGTGTGCATTTTGTTTCATGAAGGAAATCTACCAATACTTATGGTCATGCACATTTTTGTATCTATAATGATTATGTAAGACCAAAGCTGGCCATTCAAATTTGAAAAAGGAAAACTAACCAAGTTACTAAAATGTTGAGAAACTTTCATTACTTGAATTGGAGTTTTACGTAGACGACAAAGCCTAAAAATGTTACCAGAGCATAAGGCAGTGTGCGATTGATTACCTATTCAAAGTTGGTATGTAGAAAATGACACTGGCACTTACCTCCTCTCTTTTGACACCTCTTGCCTCGGAACTGAGCTTTGCAGTAACATCTCCCCTTTGAACCTCTAGATCGGCAAACACCTCCGTTCAGACAACGTATCTTTCTACATGCATTTCCACCTGTTGTGCAACATAGAGAAAGAAAGGGTTATATTGCGCGATTTCTAACCACTTAACGTATACGCAGACAATACCGCACTTATGGCCAAGGCATGAATACAGATCTGGATATTTTCTGATTTAAAAACTGAATCATTTTGGTAGCATATTAGTGTCAACACAGACACGAGTACAATAGTGGCCAGCTGTTTAAGAACACCAAATATAATTTCCTGCATTTCCTTTTTCGACTTTTTAAAACCCTTTTGCATGACAAGATTCATTTCAGTTACAAAAAGAAAAAGTGCTCATCCTTTAAGAAAGTAAAACAAACTTACATTACTAAAACTGCAAGGAATCGTTCAATACGTGTAATAGGTATCTTAAATAGTTGACACAAAGTAAGGTACAATTTTAGCATTTCCATCAATCATAATAATAGCTTTATTTGGATTTACCGCACGTTATAAATGTACATCCAGAATAATGGCATCTGTACTTACCTACTGGTTTTCGACATTTGCTGCCTCTGAATCCACGTTTACAGAAACATTTCCATCTTTTACCGCTGTATCTGCATGTACCTCCATTGCGACAACGTACTCTCCTACATGGATTCCTGCCTCCTTCAGTCAAAGAGAAGAAACGATGTGCAAATTGCAATTGTCGTCTGTTCAACTAATATACAATTGTATATCATATGCATATATACAGTCCCAGTCATGTTCATTTTATAGCAGTTCCTCTGCTGGAAAGTATTTTGCTGTGAATACCTATCTCTCTGTGTGTGTGTGTGTGTGTGTGTGTGTGTGTTTGTTTGTCTTTGTGTAGCCATTAAGGAGCACCTAAATGCAATAAGTCTGATTTCCTCTTGCTACTTATCAGTACTTATATTCAAACCAATATTGATGTCCATGGCGATTAGGTGTGCATTTTGTTTCATGAAGGAAATCTACCAATACTTATGGTCATGCACATTTTTGTATCTATAATGATTATGTAAGACCAAAGCTGGCCATTCAAATTTGAAAAAGGAAAACTAACCAAGTTACTAAAATGTTGAGAAACTTTCATTACTTGAATTGGAGTTTTTACGTAGACGACAAAGCCTAAAAAATGTTACCAGAGCATAAGGCAGTGTGCGATTGATTACCTATTCAAAGTTGGTATGTAGAAAATGACACTGGCACTTACCTCCTCTCTTTTGACACCTCTTGCCTCGGAACTGAGCTTTGCAGTAACATCTCCCCTTTGAACCTCTAGATCGGCAAACACCTCCGTTCAGACAACGTATCTTTCTACATGCATTTCCACCTGTTGTGCAACATAGAGAAAGAAAGGGTTATATTGCGCGATTTCTAACCACTTAACGTATACGCAGACAATACCGCACTTATGGCCAAGGCATGAATACAGATCTGGATATTTTCTGATTTAAAAACTGAATCATTTTGGTAGCATATTAGTGTCAACACAGACACGAGTACAATAGTGGCCAGCTGTTTAAGAACACCAAATATAATTTCCTGCATTTCCTTTTTCGACTTTTTAAAAACCCTTTTGCATGACAAGATTCATTTCAGTTACAAAAAAGAAAAAAGTGCTCATCCTTTAAGAAAGTAAAAGAAACTTACATTACTAAAACTGCAAGGAATCGTTCAATACGTGTAATAGGTATCTTAAATAGTTGACACAAAGTAAGGTACAATTTTAGCATTTCCATCAATCATAATAATAGCTTTATTTGGATTTACCGCACGTTATAAATGTACATCCAGAATAATGGCATCTGTACTTACCTACTGGTTTTCGACATTTGCTGCCTCTGAATCCACGTTTACAGAAACATTTCCATCTTTTACCGCTGTATCTGCATGTACCTCCATTGCGACAACGTACTCTCCTACATGGATTCCTGCCTCCTTCAGTCAAAGAGAAGAAACGATGTGCAAATTGCAATTGTCGTCTGTTCAACTAATATACAATTGTATATCATATGCATATATACAGTCCCAGTCATGTTCATTTTATAGCAGTTCCTCTGCTGGAAAGTATTTTGCTGTGAATACCTACCTATCTCTGTGTGTGTATGTGTGTGTGTGTTTGTTTGTTTTTGTTTTGTGTAGCCATTAAGGAGCACCTAAATGCAATAAGTCTGATTTCCTCTTGCTACTTATCAGTACTTATATTCAAACCAATATTGATGTCCATGGCGATTAGGTGTGCATTTTGTTTCATGAAGGAAATCTACCAATACTTATGGTCATGCACATTTTGTATCTATAATGATTATGTAAGACCAAAGCTGGGCATTCAAATTTGAAAAGGAAAACTAACCAAGTTACTAAAATGTTGAGAAACTTTCATTACTTGAATTGGAGTTTTACGTAGACGACAAAGCCTAAAAAATGTTACCAGAGCATAAGGCAGTGTGCGATTGATTACCTATTCAAAGTTGGTATGTAGAAAATGACACTGGCACTTACCTCCTCTCTTTTGACACCTCTTGCCTCGGAACTGAGCTTTGCAGTAACATCTCCCCTTTGAACCTCTAGATCGGCAAACACCTCCGTTCAGACAACGTATCTTTCTACATGCATTTCCACCTGTTGTGCAACATAGAGAAAGAAAGGGTTATATTGCGCGATTTCTAACCACTTAACGTATACGCAGACAATACCGCACTTATGGCCAAGGCATGAATACAGATCTGGATATTTTCTGATTTAAAAGCTGAATCGTTTTGGTAGCATATTAGTGTCAACACAGACACGAGTACAATAGTGGCCAGCTGTTTAAGAACACCAAATATAATTTCCTGCATTTCCTTTTTCGACTTTTTAAAAACCCTTTTGCATGACAAGATTCATTTCAGTTACAAAAAGGAAAACAGTGCTCATCCTTTAAGAAAGTAAAACAAACTTACATTACTAAAACTGCAAGGAATCGTTCAATACGTGTAATAGGTATCTTAAATAGTTGACACAAAGTAAGGTACAATTTTAGCATTTCCATCAATCATAATAATAGCTTTATTTGGATTTACCGCACGTTATAAATGTACATCCAGAATAATGGCATCTGTACTTACCTACTGGTTTTCGACATTTGCTGCCTCTGAATCCACGTTTACAGAAACATTTCCATCTTTTACCGCTGTATCTGCATGTACCTCCATTGCGACAACGTACTCTCCTACATGGATTCCTGCCTCCTTCAGTCAAAGAGAAGAAACGATGTGCAAATTGCAATTGTCGTCTGTTCAACTAATATACAATTGTATATCATATGCATATATACAGTCCCAGTCATGTTCATTTTATAGCAGTTCCTCTGCTGGAAAGTATTTTGCTGTGAATACCTATCTCTGTGTGTGTGTGTGTGTGTGTGTGTGTTTGTTTGTCTTTGTGTAGCCATTAAGGAGCACCTAAATGCAATAAGTCTGATTTCCTCTTGCTACTTATCAGTACTTATATTCAAACCAATATTGATGTCCATGGCGATTAGGTGTGCATTTTGTTTCATGAAGGAAATCTACCAATACTTATGGTCATGCACATTTTTGTATCTATAATGATTATGTAAGACCAAAGCTGGGCATTCAAATTTGAAAAGGAAAACTAACCAAGTTACTAAAATGTTGAGAAACTTTCATTACTTGAATTGGAGTTTTTACGTAGACGACAAAGCCTAAAAAATGTTACCAGAGCATAAGGCAGTGTGCGATTGATTACCTATTCAAAGTTGGTATGTAGAAAATGACACTGGCACTTACCTCCTCTCTTTTGACACCTCTTGCCTCGGAACTGAGCTTTGCAGTAACATCTCCCCTTTGAACCTCTAGATCGGCAAACACCTCCGTTCAGACAACGTATCTTTCTACATGCATTTCCACCTGTTGTGCAACATAGAGAAAGAAAGGGTTATATTGCGCGATTTCTAACCACTTAACGTATACGCAGACAATACCGCACTTATGGCCAAGGCATGAATACAGATCTGGATATTTTCTGATTTAAAAACTGAATCATTTTGGTAGCATATTAGTGTCAACACAGACACGAGTACAATAGTGGCCAGCTGTTTAAGAACACCAAATATAATTTCCTGCATTTCCTTTTTCGACTTTTTAAAAACCCTTTTGCATGACAAGATTCATTTCAGTTACAAAAAGGAAAACAGTGCTCATCCTTTAAGAAAGTAAAACAAACTTACATTACTAAAACTGCAAGGAATCGTTCAATACGTGTAATAGGTATCTTAAATAGTTGACACAAAGTAAGGTACAATTTTAGCATTTCCATCAATCATAATAATAGCTTTATTTGGATTTACCGCACGTTATAAATGTACATCCAGAATAATGGCATCTGTACTTACCTACTGGTTTTCGACATTTGCTGCCTCTGAATCCACGTTTACAGAAACATTTCCATCTTTACCGCTGTATCTGCATGTACCTCCATTGCGACAACGTACTCTCCTACATGGATTCCTGCCTCCTTCAGTCAAAGAGAAGAAACGATGTGCAAATTGCAATTGTCGTCTGTTCAACTAATATACAATTGTATATCATATGCATATATACAGTCCCAGTCATGTTCATTTTATAGCAGTTCCTCTGCTGGAAAGTATTTTGCTGTGAATACCTATCTCTGTGTGTATGTGTGTATGTGTGTGTTTGTGTGTGTTTGTTTGTCTTTGTGTAGCCATTAAGGAGCACCTAAATGCAATAAGTCTGATTTCCTCTTGCTACTTATCAGTACTTATATTCAAACCAATATTGATGTCCATGGCGATTAGGTGTGCATTTTGTTTCATGAAGGAAATCTACCAATACTTATGGTCATGCACATTTTGTATCTATAATGATTATGTAAGACCAAAGCTGGGCATTCAAATTTGAAAAGGAAAACTAACCAAGTTACTAAAATGTTGAGAAACTTTCATTACTTGAATTGGAGTTTTACGTAGACGACAAAGCCTAAAAATGTTACCAGAGCATAAGGCAGTGTGCGATTGATTACCTATTCAAAGTTGGTATGTAGAAAATGACACTGGCACTTACCTCCTCTCTTTTGACACCTCTTGCCTCGGAACTGAGCTTTGCAGTAACATCTCCCCTTTGAACCTCTAGATCGGCAAACACCTCCGTTCAGACAACGTATCTTTCTACATGCATTTCCACCTGTTGTGCAACATAGAGAAAGAAAGGGTTATATTGCGCGATTTCTAACCACTTAACGTATACGCAGACAATACCGCACTTATGGCCAAGGCATGAATACAGATCTGGATATTTTCTGATTTAAAAACTGAATCATTTTGGTAGCATATTAGTGTCAACACAGACACGAGTACAATAGTGGCCAGCTGTTTAAGAACACCAAATATAATTTCCTGCATTTCCTTTTTCGACTTTTTAAAAACCCTTTTGCATGACAAGATTCATTTCAGTTACAAAAAAAGAAAAAAGTGCTCATCCTTTAAGAAAGTAAAACAAACTTACATTACTAAAACTGCAAGGAATCGTTCAATACGTGTAATAGGTATCTTAAATAGTTGACACAAAGTAAGGTACAATTTTAGCATTTCCATCAATCATAATAATAGCTTTATTTGGATTTACCGCACGTTATAAATGTACATCCAGAATAATGGCATCTGTACTTACCTACTGGTTTTCGACATTTGCTGCCTCTGAATCCACGTTTACAGAAACATTTCCATCTTTTACCGCTGTATCTGCATGTACCTCCATTGCGACAACGTACTCTCCTACATGGATTCCTGCCTCCTTCAGTCAAAGAGAAGAAACGATGTGCAAATTGCAATTGTCGTCTGTTCAACTAATATACAATTGTATATCATATGCATATATACAGTCCCAGTCATGTTCATTTTATAGCAGTTCCTCTGCTGGAAAGTATTTTGCTGTGAATACCTATCTCTGTGTGTGTGTGTGTGTGTGTGTGTGTGTGTGTGTGTGTGTTTTTGTTTTTTTTTGTCTTTGTGTAGCCATTAAGGAGCACCTAAATGCAATAAGTCTGATTTCCTCTTGCTACTTATCAGTACTTATATTCAAACCAATATTGATGTCCATGGCGATTAGGTGTGCATTTTGTTTCATGAAGGAAATCTACCAATACTTATGGTCATGCACATTTTTGTATCTATAATGATTATGTAAGACCAAAGCTGGCCATTCAAATTTGAAAAAGGAAAACTAACCAAGTTACTAAAATGTTGAGAAACTTTCATTACTTGAATTGGAGTTTTTACGTAGACGACAAAGCCTAAAAAATGTTACCAGAGCATAAGGCAGTGTGCGATTGATTACCTATTCAAAGTTGGTATGTAGAAAATGACACTGGCACTTACCTCCTCTCTTTTGACACCTCTTGCCTCGGAACTGAGCTTTGCAGTAACATCTCCCCTTTGAACCTCTAGATCGGCAAACACCTCCGTTCAGACAACGTATCTTTCTACATGCATTTCCACCTGTTGTGCAACATAGAGAAAGAAAGGGTTATATTGCGCGATTTCTAACCACTTAACGTATACGCAGACAATACCGCACTTATGGCCAAGGCATGAATACAGATCTGGATATTTTCTGATTTAAAAACTGAATCATTTTGGTAGCATTTTAGTGTCAACACAGACACGAGTACAATAGTGGCCAGCTGTTTAAGAACACCAAATATAATTTCCTGCATTTCCTTTTTCGACTTTTTAAAAACCCTTTTGCATGACAAGATTCATTTCAGTTACAAAAAAGAAAAAGTGCTCATCCTTTAAGAAAGTAAAAGAAACTTACATTACTAAAACTGCAAGGAATCGTTCAATACGTGTAATAGGTATCTTAAATAGTTGACACAAAGTAAGGTACAATTTTAGCATTTCCATCAATCATAATAATAGCTTTATTTGGATTTACCGCACGTTATAAATGTACATCAGAATAATGGCATCTGTACTTACCTACTGGTTTTCGACATTTGCTGCCTCTGAATCCACGTTTACAGAAACATTTCCATCTTTTACCGCTGTATCTGCATGTACCTCCATTGCGACAACGTACTCTCCTACATGGATTCCTGCCTCCTTCAGTCAAAGAGAAGAAACGATGTGCAAATTGCAATTGTCGTCTGTTCAACTAATATACAATTGTATATCATATGCATATATACAGTCCCAGTCATGTTCATTTTATAGCAGTTCCTCTGCTGGAAAGTATTTTGCTGTGAATACCTATCTCTGTGTGTGTGTGTGTGTGTGTGTGTGTGTGTTTTGTTTGTGTTTGTAGCCATTAAGGAGCACCTAAATGCAATAAGTCTGATTTCCTCTTGCTACTTATCAGTACTTATATTCAAACCAATATTGATGTCCATGGCGATTAGGTGTGCATTTTGTTTCATGAAGGAAATCTACCAATACTTATGGTCATGCACATTTTTGTATCTATAATGATTATGTAAGACCAAAGCTGGCCATTCAAATTTGAAAAAGGAAAACTAACCAAGTTACTAAAATGTTGAGAAACTTTCATTACTTGAATTGGAGTTTTTACGTAGACGACAAAGCCTAAAAAATGTTACCAGAGCATAAGGCAGTGTGCGATTGATTACCTATTCAAAGTTGGTATGTAGAAAATGACACTGGCACTTACCTCCTCTCTTTTGACACCTCTTGCCTCGGAACTGAGCTTTGCAGTAACATCTCCCCTTTGAACCTCTAGATCGGCAAACACCTCCGTTCAGACAACGTATCTTTCTACATGCATTTCCACCTGTTGTGCAACATAGAGAAAGAAAGGGTTATATTGCGCGATTTCTAACCACTTAACGTATACGCAGACAATACCGCACTTATGGCCAAGGCATGAATACAGATCTGGATATTTTCTGATTTAAAACTGAATCATTTTGGTAGCATTTTAGTGTCAACACAGACACGAGTACAATAGTGGCCAGCTGTTTAAGAACACCAAATATAATTTCCTGCATTTCCTTTTTCGACTTTTTAAAAACCCTTTTGCATGACAAGATTCATTTCAGTTACAAAAAGAAAAAGTGCTCATCCTTTAAGAAAGTAAAAGAAACTTACATTACTAAAACTGCAAGGAATCGTTCAATACGTGTAATAGGTATCTTAAATAGTTGACACAAAGTAAGGTACAATTTTAGCATTTCCATCAATCATAATAATAGCTTTATTTGGATTTACCGCACGTTATAAATGTACATCCAGAATAATGGCATCTGTACTTACCTACTGGTTTTCGACATTTGCTGCCTCTGAATCCACGTTTACAGAAACATTTCCATCTTTTACCGCTGTATCTGCATGTACCTCCATTGCGACAACGTACTCTCCTACATGGATTCCTGCCTCCTTCAGTCAAAGAGAAGAAACGATGTGCAAATTGCAATTGTCGTCTGTTCAACTAATATACAATTGTATATCATATGCATATATACAGTCCCAGTCATGTTCATTTTATAGCAGTTCCTCTGCTGGAAAGTATTTTGCTGTGAATACCTATCTCTGTGTGTATGTGTGTGTGTGTGTTTGTTTGTCTTTGTGTAGCCATTAAGGAGCACCTAAATGCAATAAGTCTGATTTCCTCTTGCTACTTATCAGTACTTATATTCAAACCAATATTGATGTCCATGGCGATTAGGTGTGCATTTTGTTTCATGAAGGAAATCTACCAATACTTATGGTCATGCACATTTTTGTATCTATAATGATTATGTAAGACCAAAGCTGGGCATTCAAATTTGAAAAAGGAAAACTAACCAAGTTACTAAAATGTTGAGAAACTTTCATTACTTGAATTGGAGTTTTTACGTAGACGACAAAGCCTAAAAAATGTTACCAGAGCATAAGGCAGTGTGCGATTGATTACCTATTCAAAGTTGGTATGTAGAAAATGACACTGGCACTTACCTCCTCTCTTTTGACACCTCTTGCCTCGGAACTGAGCTTTGCAGTAACATCTCCCCTTTGAACCTCTAGATCGGCAAACACCTCCGTTCAGACAACGTATCTTTCTACATGCATTTCCACCTGTTGTGCAACATAGAGAAAGAAAGGGTTATATTGCGCGATTTCTAACCACTTAACGTATACGCAGACAATACCGCACTTATGGCCAAGGCATGAATACAGATCTGGATATTTTCTGATTTAAAAACTGAATCATTTTGGTAGCATATTAGTGTCAACACAGACACGAGTACAATAGTGGCCAGCTGTTTAAGAACACCAAATATAATTTCCTGCATTTCCTTTTTCGACTTTTAAAAACCCTTTTGCATGACAAGATTCATTTCAGTTACAAAAAAAGAAAAAAGTGCTCATCCCTTAAGAAAGTAAAACAAACTTACATTACTAAAACTGCAAGGAATCGTTCAATACGTGTAATAGGTATCTTAAATAGTTGACACAAAGTAAGGTACAATTTTAGCATTTCCATCAATCATAATAATAGCTTTATTTGGATTTACCGCACGTTATAAAT